TGAGAAAAGGGGGGAGGGGGTTCCGGGAAAGAACAGCATCGGCACTTAATTAATTCTCTAAATGTGGTAGGCATTTATTTCTCCTAATCATCGTGGGGTATGCAAATCGATCTCTCGCTCTTCGCTCGCGCGTCGCTCACGCGGGCGGGCGCGCGCGCCAGGCGAGGGTAACAATAATAACCAGAAATTGATTAACAGACTAATAATAATCTAACGGCTAGCTTATCGCCTAGGAATTTCGTGTTAGTGTCTTTCCATATTAAATAATTATGTACACGGCTTTCGGGTTAGTCGTAGCCCGCGACACGTTCGCGCATCGGGGGGGGGGGGGGGCAAAAGGATGGGGTATAAATAGTCACGGTTGATGTAGTCGTACGTTTAGCGAGCACACACCGNAGGGGCAAAAGGATGGTGTATAAATAGTCACGGTTGATGTAGTCGTACGTTTAGCGAGCACACACCGCGCGCGCGTCTTGTATATTTATATATATATATGTATGTAAACCTCGTCACTATTAAGGGCACAACAAATTCATTGACTAACGTGCATTATCAATGCACGCACGCACGCATGCACGCACGTATCGCGATGTAACAGTAGTATGCGCTAGGAAATTAAAACGTACACACGTATACGGGTCCGTGTGCGAGGCGCTGCGTTCGGAAACTTCACCTGGGTGCACCTCGGGGAGTGTAAATTTCCACTTTGAAATTTCAGGCTGAACGCCTGAACTGTTGCATTCGAAATTTTCATCAAGATTCATATTTTCATATACAAGGTGTAGCTGAACTCCACCGACAAACTTACAGGACAGATTCTATCGTTGAAAAATAAGTAGAAAAAGTTTTAATAAATGCAAAAGCTTGGCTTTCGATGTTGCTTTCGGAAGGTGGTAACGATGAAAGAAAATGTGTCGCAATAAGCGGGTCAAGAATGCACAAGAATGGTAATATTTTTTTTTATCTATTTTTGGAGATTGTATCTATCAATTTTGATATTTCTGATAAAAGGCTTGTAAATGAGCTAGATAAATTGCTTCCAAGAATCCAGGCATGCGAAAACGTTAGAAATAATGTAGCAATATTAGAATGATATCTTCAAGTTAAAAATCGTATACGTTTGAAAGGATATCGTACGTTCTATCAAATATTTTTCCTCTCAATTCATGAGAATTATTCTTGGATAACAAGAATATATTTTTAATGGAACTATATAGAATTTCTTCGTGTAAGCAAGTTTTATCTCCACATAAGATTATACATTCTTTCTTATATATAAAAATATGAGCCTAGAAATGATACCAATCGTTTTCCTTGTATTTATCTATACTACAAAAGCCTAAAACGTTAGAAAGACGCTAGTTATGTACTGACGAATAACCGGTCAATATACGATCCTCAGGGATCGCCAATAGTACATTGACGTGATAGATAAAAATTGTCGTTTAGCAATTATCCGCACCCTGCACAGAAAAAAAAAGTCTCAAATCAATGATAGACATCTTCATACATAAACAAGGATATTATAATCTTCTCAAAAGATTTTTAGTCTTGAATTGAATGCAACACTTGCATCAATATAAATTCAATTAAATCAATAAGAAAAATCCCCTAAGAAGATTACAATATTCTTATTTAAATATCAGAATATTTATTATTGATTTAAGGCTAATTTTTTTTCCGTGTGAGTGAAACCTGGTCCTGCCGCCATTCGCTCTGCTCTCCTCCGGAGAGTGTTTCCGAACGCCGCTTAACGTGATCGGGTGGCCGAAGAGAGGATCCCGAGATTCGAACCGCGGGCTCCCGAGGACGTCGCGACGGAAGTTCTCGTCGGGGTAGAATTGACTTCTGCCCGGGGAGAGGACAGGTTCGCGCGGTCGAGTCTCGGAATCCGCCCCGAGCAAAACGCGTTACACACCACTTTTTGCACGTACATACGCTCCCGCCGATATACTACTTTGAAACGTCTCTTTCGTTAATTATTCTTTACAAACTAACGTTAAAACTTACTGAACGTAGTATCTAATGGACAGATACAATTTCAATTGGCTCTCTCCGGCTTTGCGAACTATACAGGGCTCGTGTTTGTATCTACAATATTCGGTCGACGATTTGCGTGCGTAGTCTGACAATTTTTCAGAATCTCTCTTTATCTCTCACACTTTCACTCACTCTCTCTCACTCACTCTCACTCTCTCTCTTTCTCGCTCCCGATTCGTCCCGACAATCGCGGGCTGTACACTCGCGCATCTCGAAGAGGAAAACTGTTACGAAAGTTAAGTCGGATACGCAAGTTCGAAAATATGCAAATTTACAGGACTGGGCAGTACCGCGGGGATACGTGGATTTCGAATAAATAACTTCGAAACACACACACACACACGCGCGCACACACGAAAAGATGCACACGCACGCACACACACACATACACACACACACATCGGTGTCTCAGGAGTATGCATATCCCGGAAAGATGATTCTCCTTTCTGCCGGATAATACTCGTTGCTTAGCTCTGAGGTCGTTCCTAATATCGATTATCGGCTACTGCTGGATCAGGTATGTGTGTGTGTGTGTGTGTTCACTACGACGTTATTAACGCATTCTTTGCGGATGATTAGCACGGATAATAACAACGGGATTCACGTAGCGCGAATCTCCACGAAGGTTGAACCCATAAATAAAAGGTATCTCTCTCTGTCTATCGATCGACTGAACGACAAGAAAACTTGACGCATCGGTAGGATTAAAAGAAAGCCAACCGGCACAAAGTGGGCTGAGGTTCGGTGGGGGGGGGGGGGGGNGGGGGGGAGGTAAAGTAAAAGGGTTGTTGGTGGTGGCTGGTTTGTTTTTAATACTTGTGAAGAGGTGTGTAATGCTGAGTGAGTGTCGCACGTGCTAGTCAATGCCACATTACTCGCCCATTGGTTTTTAGTAGCTGAAACAGATCCACAACACAACAGTAGATAGGTGACACAGGCGTGCGCGCACACACATACACGAAACCAATCGATCGAACGATCAATCAATCAGTCGCTCTTCGTGCCAGAGACTGAAGCCCGATACTAACCGGTAGTAGTTAGGCTTGAAAGGACCCGCCTTGTTGAGGCCCATGTACTTCGCCTGCTCGTCCGTCAGTTCCGTCAGGTGCGCGTCGAACGTGGGTAAATGCAGCGACGCGACGTACTCATCTGCAGGCCGACGTTATCGACTTACTTTGCGCTCGACGTCTGAATACGCGACACTGCGTTTTTGTGTTCATTGCATCTGAAGTTCACGCACTTCAAATTAAGGTGAGTCTACACCAAGCGAACGAACAGCGATGTGCGATGCAGTGCTGCCATTCAGTCTCATCGGTACGAAACAATGAAATTAGCTGCTTCGTGGCAGAAAAGGTAACAAGAAGTAACCTCTCAGACATCAAACTAGTGATGTCAAAAGTGATATTTTCCGTCAAATTCTAAGAATAACTATTGTACACAAGGTTTATCTTTGAATTTTAGCGTCTAACGCGCACGAGGCTTTCCCGAAAACCACCTGGTGGGCCCGAAAAGTTCCGCTCGGATTCGTCGTGACGTCGCGCATTCTCCGAATTGTAATAACGAAAGTTTGCATTCGCGGTTCCTTCTCTGTTCGTTCGCTCAGGGTATACTCAGCTTTGGACGAACATGTGTGTTCGTGCCTCGCAATTGTGTGTGTACACACATACCCATCTTCTTCGGTAGCAAGTAAACGTCGCTCTTGTACCGTCCCGGTGGCGCGTTGAACAGCTCGATTAAGGCCAGCGCTTGCGTAGCGGCAGTAATAGACACCACGAACGACGGTATACTCGAGCACGACAAGTTTACCAGACGGCCTTCCGCCAGGAGCACGATGCGCTTGCCGTCCGGCCAGATCACGTGATCCACCTGCGACCTCACTTTCTCCCACGTCAGGTCGGGCGTACGTAAACTGTTCTGTTTAGACAGAACATAAAAGAGGGACTTAATTTCGTGCCTGATTAGCTTTCTTTTTTTGAAAGACAGAGAAAAAAGAGAGAGAGAGAGAGAGAGAGAGAAAAAAATGGTAGCGAGCTAAGAATTATTCCTTCAACAGTGAATCGCAGTACAATATTTCTGTTCTGTGTAACAAACATCAACCAACAACAACATTGCATGAATGTTACAATTCCTCACTCAACGAAGCAAATGCAACATAACATACGTTGTACGTAGCGTTCACATTGCCGAGCGGGAAATTACAACACCGTCGTAATGCTGCTATTGATTGGTGTTTACTGGCGAGTTAATCTTCGGAATGAGCCGTGCGTGATGAAGAGGACAAAGAGTAGCGGGTGATATGCACGTACGATGTCAATCTCGGTGTTGCTGTGGCCCATATTGCACACCACGCATCCGTTCTTCATTTTGTCCATGTGCTCGCGCGTCACCACGTTTTTATTGCCCGTCGCTGTAATAACAATGTCTACATTTCGAATGACTTCATTGAGTTTCATCACTCTGAAGCCGTCCATGCTGTAAATGCGACAACACACATATATATGTATATGATCTCCGCCACTTGCTCCCGGACTTGGCCCGTGCGGTTGGCCAGCTTTATCGCGCGCCTTACCTGGCTTGCAGCGCACATATGGGATCGATCTCGGTGATATAAACGATGCAGCCCAAGCCCTTGAGGGCTTGGCAGCATCCCTTGCCGACCTCCCCGTAGCCGCATATTACAACCTGCTTGCCGCCGAACATGACGTCGGTGGATCTCTTTAAGCTACAAAAACGACAAATTCGATGAGAGGATTGAGAGCCCGCGAGAGACGGACTCTCTTGACTCTCGTGCGCGCGGGATAACGCATAAGCCGCACGGCTCTCCCGTAAGTCGTGCTTTCCTCGTGGTCGCGCGACATTCGACCTCCCGTCGAATAACTCACCTGTCGATAATGCTCTCGCGACAGCTGTAAAGATTATCAAACTTGGTTTTCGTCACGCTGTCGTTCACGTTCATCGCTGGGACAGAAAGTTTACCTGCCTTGGACAACTGATACAGTCTGTGCACGCCCGTTACGCTCTCTTCGACGATTCCTACACAAGGATTTACACACGCCCGCCGTTTTATTCGTTTGTAAATCAAGCCTCGACGGAATTATTATTACTATTGAATCATTGTTGTTAACAACCCAATGTTAATTCTCGATAGTTCTGATTAGAGTTTCAACTTCCTTTCATGGAATATAGTTTCTTTTATATTCATGAAGAGTTTCGCTGATTGAAGGTAGTTGTAGCATAAAATGTGTTTTTTTTTAAGAATTCATTGAAACTTATATATATATGTATATAATCTAATTATTGGCGTAGTTAGAAAATATAATAATGAATCTTATACATAACATAGTAAAACTAAAGCATTTGAATAAAAGGAATACAAAATAGTATCTCTGTAATATTGCGTGTATATTTCTCTTAATTTCGCTCAAAATTAATTTATCACTTAATTAAACAAAGTTATAGGAGAATATGTTATTTCAGTACACAATAAACTTATGTAGTGGCCCTTAATATCGCCACTGGAAATCCGGCACTCTACGATACAACTACCTTAAAAAAAAAATGGGGGTGCTAATTTCATCCAGCATCACGGCCGGATAGTTCTGAATGTAACATATTATAATTAGATAACACTGGACGCGACTGAGAGCGAAGCTGGCATGAACGAACCTTGAATCATCTTGAACATGGCGTTGTACTTCTTGAGCATCAAGTGCGTGGCGTCACCGCCGTCGTCCAATATCATATTGGGCTGCCAATTCTCGGCGGCGACGCACTTGTCGATGCACCACCAGAAGTCCTCCTCGGTCTCGCCGCGCCACGCGAACACCGGGTAGTTGGCGTGCGCCAACGCCGCGGCCACCTCGTTCTGCGTCGAGTAAATATTGCACGCGGCCCATCGTACCTGTGCGCCCAGCTCCACCAGCGTCTCGATCAGGACGGCGGTCTGCGCGTTGATGTGGGTGCAGCCCACGATCTTCGCGTTCTTCAGCGGCTACATAAAGCGAGTTTCGGTCATTCATACGCGCGCACGCACGCGCTTCCTTTCTTCTCTTTCGAGCTAATATCTTGACGGTCGCCTCATTCGCGCGTCGACGTCATCGAGACCCCGGCTAACAGCGGCGCCGTCGGCGAGAGACAGAAGAAAGGTGCACATATACACACACCTTGTCGTCGGCGGCACGTTTCCGCAACGCCATGATCCCCGGCATCTCCTGCTCGGCGATTTCGATTTCCCTGCGGCCGAAGGCGTGCTGATCGATGTTGCGCACGCAGAAGTCCGTGAAGCCCCTCTCCGTCTTCTGGATCTTCTCGCGCGGTGACACGTCATCCTCGTCAGACGAGCTCCCTGTATAAGATGCTAAGGTAGCGCCGGGTGCCGAAAAACATCGATTATTAGTAACACATCCAAGTGCATGGTTATCATCATCATCCTATCATGGGCGCGGCTAAAGGATGCGCTCGTTAAGGACCGAGAGAGGAATGTTATTCACACACGACTATGTACTACTACGAAGGCTGGAACTAATTTTTCGAAGCAGTCATATACGCACAAATATACGCTTGCAATCGCTAGAGAAAGATAGAGAAGAAAAAAACGAGGGACGTTAAATCGTGAGAAGAAGAATGAGAAGAAGAAGAAGAAGAAGAGGAGGAGAAGGAAGAAGAAGAAGAAGCAAGCTCTACGAGAGAAGTTCTTTCCGCTCTTCGCGACGAAGAGGCGGCAGAAAAGAGATTCGCTCGATTTGCTGAGCTTCTCTTGGAGGCACACACTGGGCGGCGTCCACTATGCGCTACGCGATCACAGAATAGTGCACTCGTACCGGAACTGTAACTGTCGGTGCTGCTGGCCGACAAGGAGCGGCTGCGGTAGCGGCTGGACTTCTTCAGCGCCCCGGACTTGGAGTCCTACAAGATCGAAAGGCACAGTCAGTGTCATCATGCTCACGAAGAACCTCCATGTTGTTCTTGTTTTTTCTCTTCTAAAAGGGCCGCGTTGCATCGAAAGAAATGAACTACGAACTGAAGAGTGCGTATGAAGCTAGTTCATTGTGCTGAGTATAAAAAACACAGATCAATCACGGACGATTTACAGAGAACTGTTCGAAGAGAAAGAAGTAGAGAGGCTCTTTCGGAGGTTTTTTTTTTTTAAGAAGGCCGATAACGTGTTCGTACAATGAAGCGAGATAAAAGTCCAAGATCTCCGAGCAGCATCTCCCGGCAGCGCCTCGAGCGCAGATAAGATAGAGAGTTAACGAGTTCTAATTATACCGCCGCGACAATATAATCGTGCCGTTATTAGTCTGTGTTGTTTGATCGACAGGCGAGAATGATAAACTAACCAGCACACACGATGTTTGTTACAACGAGGAGACAAAGCAGCCCTGAAGGGAGGAAAGGGGGGAGGGGGGATGGAGAAAGGTAAAATGAGTATATATATATATATATATATATATATATATACACACACATAGCAAGAGGATCGTTCTCTACATGACGTGTTTTTTGGGGGGGGGGGGGGTTNATATTGTACTCTTACTTACTAATTTCGTTCTCGCGCCGTGAAAGGCATTATTTGATGCCTCTAGGCTCTGAAATCACAACAACCACCATTTCATGATTCAAATGTCATTCAGGTGTCTGCGACACAGTCCGTAGCTTGGTACAAAGCTCCCAAAAGGTTTACACACTCGCGCGCGCACAAAAGTGTGCGCGACTCGCGCGCTTAACGACACATCGATGCTCATTTCCTTTATCTTATCTTTTTTTTTTGTTTTCTCCCTATCTCTCGGCTCGATTCCGAATCTCGCGCGTAATAATAATTTGTGTACACACCAAAGCGTTCTCCAATTGACGAGTCAATTGACGATCGATCAGACGCACCGGGACGAATAATTCCGTGAACAAGCAGGTTCCTTATGTACCGCCAAATGTCTCGCGATCTCTGCCGAATCGCGCTGATCGATTTCAAAGGAGAAACGAGTAGGTCAACCGTCGGACAATTTGAAAGCGGCACTTTTTTTCATGATAACTCAACGGTATTTTTTTCCCTTGAAGTTATTCCCGAATTATCTTTCTTTCCTTTTTGCACTCAACACAATTCACATAGTGCTAATTGTGCCACGCCTAAATGGTGTGTCTAGGCTTATGAGCGATGCATGAGTGATTGGTACCGAACCTACGGACTACTGTGTGAATAATGCTCTATATGTAAAATAATACATAAGCGTCTCGTATGCCGAGTCACAGGCACTATGTGTAATAACCGCATGCAATCACAGTTCTTTAAGTTGCTATTGTTATTTCGATTAACGAGGTAACGTAATAACACAGCTTGTTATGTGCCTGAAACAGCCATTATATAAATGTATTCGCATGAAAAATGGCAAGATGAAAGATACCAATACCTAAACACGGACCATTTTTATCGGCTTGGTCTTTAATCTTTAAATACGAATATACTTAGGTATTCAATATAGAATATATATGTTGAATATATACACATATTCTGCGTGGAAAGTTTAGATATTTATAGAGGAGAGGATGATATTACGGTCCCCTTAATATCTCCGCTATTGGATGACGAATTCTACTTCTAATTCTAAGGGTTACTTATGAAATCATTTGTTTAGTAGCCCACTCATGCAGCTGCACGGTAAAAAATTTTGTGTTAGAAAAAGTGCACTGGAATTTTTTACTTTAAATAAATTTATACAACCAAACACTGTGTTCTTTAAAACAAAACTAATTGTTTAAATCTATTTTAGTGCGGGGCCACATTACCACTCTTGTTCTTTTTCGACTCATAATGCAATATCGCCACATTTTTTAAAATAACATCCAAAGTGATAAATATTATACAATTTTGTATTCAGAATCGATTAAACGATACTTTGGCGAATATAATCATTAAGTTTTCATTTTTAAATATTAATTATTAACAAAGTAATTGTGTACAATATAAATGGGAGGCTATAATATCATCTTCTATTCAAAGACCAAAACAATAAGAACGTTCAGATTTACCTACGTGTACAGATATTGATATTCTTACTTTATACTTAATTTCTGTGCATCGAGACTCGAACGATGTTAACGAACGACAACGTCGGTCGCGATCTTATAATGACGATAAGTAAATTAAGCGCACTCAATTTCCATTATTTCTCCACCCTCTCTCTCTCTCTCTCTTTCTCTCTCATTTACTCTCCTATTTGCCCGTTTCCTGGACGATTCGTTTAATCGACACGGCGAGAAGTGTGAGGAGCCAGCGGCAAAGCGGAATTTCTCAGACCAGACACAGCTGCAAACAGGGGTCTCAGTATACTCGGTATACAAATAGATAACTGTTAACCAACGCCCATTCATCAAAGAGCGACATGTCAATTAATACCATGTGCCTAGTTATGTAACGACCACATGTGGTCACAAGACTCGAAAGGGTTGGGCTGACACGGGCGATATACAAAAGAAATACAGGTGAGGACTTGATAAAGACTGACAGAGACGGACATAAGTGGGGTGAAAAAGAGAGAGAGAGAGAGAGAGAGAGAGATGGAAAGAGAGAGTAAGAGACAGAGATACGAGAGAAAGAGAGAGCGAGAAAAAAAGAGAGAGAGAGAGAGATAGGAGAAACCAATGTAAATAAGAGGGACGAAAGGAGAAGACGCGGACGGAGACGCGATTCCCGATTCCTCCGGGACGAACGGGCGGGCGGCGTACACACGAACGTCGTCGTCGTCGACGGGATTCCACGCGTTTTAATCATGCATAAACCGCTCGGCAGCTTCGCCGTGAGAACGGCGGCAAATACGACAGTCGTGGCACACACGGCGGGTAAATTAACGCGAACGTCGGCGGGAGCGCGCGCGACGGCCCGCTTTTCCACGGCGGTGCGAGAGCGCGACGCAATTTACCTTGGTGTTGGACGCCGGATCGGTGATCGGGCCATCATGCAGAGTGTTTCTCGCCTCTTTCCCGGACGACGTACTGCTCACACCATCCCCGCTGTCGGCCATTTTTCGAATGCACGTCCGCAAGGCTCGTCTACTGGCCGTCAGGACGCGCTGTGCGCGCGCGGACCAGGGCTGTAGCTACCTGGGCGCTGCGCGGTGCACCTCGACACGCCGGCACACGGTCGATATCGGATTTATTCGCGTCTGTCTCTGTCACAGGTGCATAAGCAGAACACGCTCCGCGATGTGGAGCCGGCGCGCGAGACCCTCCGGCGTGTCTCTTGATGACACGTGTGACGCGTATTTCAATCTTTCTTAAGCTTTATCGCCGAGAAAGGAAGCGTGTCACAGGAAACTGAAACATAACCGAAGATACTTTTAAATTACAAGAAAGATCGCGTCTCTCTCTGATCTCGTTAGAAACGAAAGCAGCCGTGATTTGAGACGTCAAACGCTGCACGATCACGTGAACAAACGCGAGACAACCCCCACCACCGCCCGGTATGAGAGATGACTCGGGGCGCCGTCCCCTGCGCGCACGGCCCTGAGCGCCGGCGCTACTAGCCGGGCGGAAAACATCGGCGTACGCCGATGCGTGCCCACCCGCCCAGCAAGATGGCTCCTCTCCGAGCCGACACTCGGTGTTTGACGTGAAGTTATTTACACACCTGGGACCCCGCGCTGCTCACGGGAGACGTGCCAGCCGTCGCGTCGATGCGTCGCGGTGCCGCGCGAGCGTAGAGGAAGCCGCCCGTTGCTCGGCGGCCCCCGTGTCAACGTCACGTCACGTCGCCTTGTCGCCGTCACGTCGCGCATCGCATCACGGCGTCAACGTCGCGCCGCGCCGCGTCGCGTCGCGCCGAGTCCAGCCGAGCCGACGAGAGAGCAACGGGCGGGCGGGCGACGACGGGTACGCTCGCCGAGGAGCCGATCCGGATCCCGCGACCGCTCGCGGGACCGAGCGACAGAGCCCGGTGACGACGACCGAGGCCCCCCGAAGAAGAGGCAGCGTGCGCTTCCCCATTCAGGTAGAGAGAGAAAGAGAGAGAGAGAGAGAGTGTGTGTGTGTATGGTGAAAGAGTGAGAGAGAATGAGAGATCGCCGTGATCGTCGCCCCGGTAGACCTCGCGGACACGCCGACGACGAGCGTCGCCGATGGCGAGGGTGTGCTTTTTTCGCTTCTCTCCCCCGTCACTCGAACGGCCGTCACACCGTCATTGTCACCGCGACTTGGCCGTCCTCGCCGGGAGCGAGCGCGGTTGTGTACAGTGCATATCGATCTACACCCGCGGCTGTCACCCCGACGCGTCGGGACCGTCGCGTCAGCGAGATCTTTCGCGTGTCGCTCTGTCTGTCTCGCTCCCTCGCTCGAGCGTTTCTTCCCCTTTCTCCCGTCCAGTCCCGGAGCCGGGACGTATGCACGCCTACTTTGTGCGCGTTGCCGAAAAGTGTCGGGAAGTGCTGGGGCTAAGGAGGGGGGAGGGGAAGAATGAGACGGACAGCGGACGCGGGCTTTCATTCTCCGTCCAGTTGCGGTTGCCGTACTTCCTTTCAATTTTCATCTTTCTCTTTTTTTTTTTCCCTCCAGTGTCCGGAGGATTTGTGTGCACCTTTTCCCGTTACGAGTGCAAGAGGTGTAGTGCAGTTGCGGGAGGAACGTGCCTGTAGTTTCGCGACGGCCGAGTCCTCTCCGGCACACACACACACACATATGTCGTTTCCCTCTCGGTGTCGTCGTCAGACTCGCTTTCGTCGGGTTTCCCTTCGTGAGCGATTTTCGATCACTCGGCCTTCTCTCGCGGCCGTCGAACGTGCGTCCGATCCCGATTCCCAAGACGGACGCGCCGATCGCGAGGACGGTTGCGTGCGAGAACGTAGACGACCCTCTCCGCCCCCGTGAGAAAGCCACGGCCGCGGCCAGAAATAAGCAAGGTCGCTATTATAAAAGCGCGGAACGCGCCGATAATCCGATAACCGCGCGCGCCTGATGTAATCTCGGGTGACGCTCGGAAAAAATCTTTCCGAGATCTCCCTCTCGTCGCCGCTTCTCTCACGTACTGTGTCACCGCCGCAGAGCCGCGATCCCCCGAAGGAAGCGCTCACCCGGACGGACAGCGCGATGAATTCTTCAAGTGTTCCGAGAGTTTTCTACCTTCCCCGAATTGTAATTCTTTGGAAATTCGTAGAAGAATACTATAAGAATCCGGGAAGCTGCATGCACCATGATTGGAATTCCTGAGAACTTTTCGGAGCATTCGGAGTGTAGAATTATTTCATATCGACAGATGTTTGCTCTGATTCAAGAGGAATGGTGTTTGTGGATAGAAAGAGGAATACGTAAAATATCCAATAAAATGTAAACTCTGAAAGTAATGTTATATAAATATGATAGTTTCACAGTCAACAATATAACTATTATGTTCATATGTTATACAGGGTGTATCTGAACTCCGACGAACTTACAGGGTAGCTTCCATGTTGAAAAATAAATATCAAAATGTATTAATAAACTTTACAACCGCATGAAAGAAGAAAGGATTCTAAAATTGCATATCATATAAAATAAAGACAGTAATAAATATTATACTCAGCCAATTTTAGGTTTTATAAAGTAGCAATTTATAAAATGAATCCGGTTCATTCATATTCTCACTCAATGGAACGTCACTGGTGTCCTTTTTATTATATCGAGATATTATTTACTTATAAAGAAAGTTCCAGTTGCAATAATGCACACACACAAAACACACTGGAAGGTAACACAAGCATTTGCTGAACGCAGCCACAGGAAGTAATTGCAACGAACAAGATACTCGTAATTCCTCATAAATTCCCCGAATATCCCAAGTACCGAATCCCGAAGTTCTCGCTGTAACGAACCTTTGAAGAATACTTCAAGACGAATTCGATTGTAGTTAATTCTTCGAGAATCCTCCGGACGTTCATATTCTTTCTCATCCGGCAAGTATTCATTAAGATGAATCCCCCGTAAACTTCTGTTCACCGTGCTATCTGGGCATACCGTTGAAATCGCCCCGGGCACACGTGACTTTCCTACGATTCCGCCCTTTGTCGATGCCTATTGGCGCAATTAGCATGACACAGGACTATTGTGAACAACTCTTTCAAGCGTAATGCATGATTCATAGCTGTATTTTAAGAGACACCGAGCGAGACACGCGGTGTGTCCGATCTGGCGAGTAGGAGAGACAGTAATCTAGCCGCGAACCGCGAGTCTCGAGCCGCGAACGAGATTTTCCACGGGAGCTTCCACGTGTACCGTCGCTTATACCTCCTTCCCTCTCTCTGTTCTTCTTTCAGATACGCAGTGCCATTCCAAAGAACCATTGCTCACAGCTGTGCTAAACTATAAACGCTATGCTTAACGATAGATAGTGTTCAAGAGGTTTTCACATATACACATGCACACAAGCACACACACGCACAATTCTCGTGTGTGTGCGATTTAGATTTAATAACGTAACGTTGTCACACAAACACACACACACATACACAACCCCCACGCATCCCTAACAAGAGCATAAGAGCTCCGAGCGAGGCGACTGGCGGAGGAATCCAAGAAGAGGACCACGTCTATCGTGTGTGTACGATCCGGACACACGATCTGTACCATAAGTCGAGGAATCGTCGACGTGTAAGCAAGCGAGCCGATTGCCGTCAGAATTCTCGAGGGAGATGTTATCAAAGGGAGGTTGAATCTCTTTCTCCCCTCTCGCCAACTTCCCGGCCCGGAGTAATGACCAAAACTGTAAGGACGTATTTGCGTTAGCCGCACGGATCCTTCGTTGGAAAATTTCACTATGTCTTGAGGGACACTGCCTTGTGCCCCACGAGAGTAAGAGAGAAAGAGAGAGAGAGAGAGAGAGAGAGAGAGTGAGAAAAGATTAGTCCTGACAATTTGTCGATTCGGTGATATCACAGAGTGCTAAAAATGGCGAGGAAGAGCGACAACGCGAAGAGCATCAACGTCGCGGTGGTTGGACTGTCCGGCACCGAGAAGGACAAGGGACAGGTCGGTGTCGGCAAGTCATGCCTGTGCAACCGCTTCATGCGCTCCCTGAGCGACGACTACAATGTGGAGCACATCTCGGTGTTGTCGCAGGTAAAGCCCCGTTCTCTTCTCCGTGCTACTGGATTAATTAACGCCTTCGCGAGATGTCTTCGCGCATCGTTATAATTACACCTTTCGATCTTCACGCGTCACTCAAGTTATAACTTCTTAATCTCTCTACACGCACTATTTAAATTACATTTCCTAACTTCAGCTAACCCACGCTTATTCTCGAGTTTTTAATTCGCCACACTCCGGTCCGTCGGACCGCTTTTGTCGTCTTGTCATTTTCATTTTAATTAACTCTGACTAATTATATTAGTTAATTATATTTACAATTGGTTATGATTAACTATGATTAGATTGTAGTTAATGTTTTAAGCTTGTAACGTGGAAATTGGAAATATACAGTTTGAATAAGATGCTTGTGATATAGGGTCGAGAAAATGATTTGAATTTGAACTAAGCTTGTAACGAAAAAAGTATTTTTGGAAAAAATGTTCAGATGGTTTGGATGGAAATGCGATTTAAGAAAAAATAACGTTCGTTCGTTGTAACGGACAGCTGATACTTTAAGAAAAAAAGAAAAAAGAGTATGCCGTGTGAAAACTAGAAAACCGAAAAACTAGAAAAACCGTTCAACGGTCCACTGGACCGGAATGTGACGAGCTATGAGTTAACAGGTTCACCGCCGTGCTGATCTTTATTGATTGTTCAAAAGATTGACAGATGATCGGATTATTAAACATACGGTGAAGAGATACGATTGAAAATGCACGTACAGTTTTTATCTCGTTCCATTGGTTTCCTATTGGCCGAATAAGCAATTCTTTCGACGGGATTAATTGCAACTTACAGACAGAGAGAAAGGATTTAATACACTTGTTTGTTTAACTTGGACTTGTCTAATATAAACGTAATTTAATATCAAGTATATTTTGTTTTACCAGAATAAACCATGTTGTTTGATGGATAAATCAATATTATTTAGAGGAAATAAAATATTATTTCGCTTTCAATATAAAAAAAATGTTATATATTAAATATTGTTCCATTGAAACAAAAAGAAGTTCTTCAATATTTTTCTAACATATAGTGCTACTTCTATCAAATAATAATTTATTGCTTGTGACAACCATTGTAATGTTTAGATGAAGATACAAAAGAAATATGTTATTATTTAACATAAAAATATTTGTCGTTTGAGAAACCAAACAATTCCGTTTGTTGAATCAAACATATATATATATTGTTTGCTCTGTTCCGAAAGACAAGTTTGTTTCAATTGAATTATTTATTATTAAATTCAAAGCGATCTTTTTTTCTTTGTATTTAGGTAATTAATGCTTCAATGATATCTCTCTCGAAATATTCGAAATTCTCCTCTTTCGCAGTCTGACTTCAGCGGGCGCGTGGTGAACAACGATCACTTCCTGTACTGGGGCGAGGTGACGAAGGCGGCGGAGGATGGGACGGAGTTTCAGTTCCAGGTGATCGAGCACACGGAGTTCATAGACGACGCGTCGTTTCAGCCGTTCAAAGGCGGTAAGATGGAGCCGTACGCGAAGAGATGCGCCGCCACCAAGATCACGAGCGCGGAGAAGCTCATGTATATCTGCAAGAACCAGCTGGGCATCGAGAAGGAATACGAGCAGAAAGTCTTACCGGACGGTAAGCTGAACATCGACGGTTTCCTCTGCGTGTTCGACGTGAGCCTCGTGCCGAACCGGTCGATCGAGAAGCAGGTTGAGATCGTGGCGAACATCCTCAACAATCTGATGAAGACGAAGAAGCCGATCGTGCTGGTGACGACGAAGAACGACGACGCGAACGAGCAGTTCGTGAAGGAGGCCGAGAAGCTGATAATGCGTAAGGAGTACAAAGGATCGATCCTGGTCGTCGAGACATCGGCGCACGAGAACATCAACGTCGACCTGGCATTCATGATCGTCGCCCAGCTGATCGACAAGACTAAGATGCGCAGCAAGGTGATACCGTTCGCCGAGGCAGCCCGAGCCAGGAAGGAACTGCTGGATGCCTCCACGGAGTCCTTGCAGAGACTGATCCGGGTGCACGTGACCGACTATCGCGCCTTGTGGTCGCAGGCCTCGAAGAAGCTCGCCCAACACAAGGAGTTCTCCACGTTCGTCGAGCTGTTCGGCATCGAGTCGACGCAGCGGCTCTTCCGAAGACACATCAAGAAGCTGAAGGACGAGCAGGTGGCGAAGAAGATTCAAGGCTACCTGGACTTGCTGCCGGATATCCTTCACGAGATCTGCCCCGACATAACGAATCTGATTAACGAGTAAGTGCCTCGCGTGACCTCAGGCGCGGCTTCTCTTCGTCGCGCCGGTTCATGGCTGAACGTTCCGCGCGCTGTTTCGCAGAGAATGGTCGGCTGTGCAACAGTACATCAAGGACCATCCCGACTTCCACCAATACTTCTTCGAGTGTCCCGAGGACATACCGTGGATCGACTGCGACTTCGGCGAGAGCAACGGCACGAAAATCCCCTACGACGTGTTGGAGACGCCCGAGGCCGAGACCGTATTTAAGAATCACATCAACGCTGTGCAACAGGAGCAACGGCGACTGGAGTAAGTACCTCGACGACGGTGTGACCGTCGTCTAACGACGAATTCGATCACTCACGCTACATTCAGTGCACGCTAAAGGCTGCTATGTACGAAATAGCGTTCGTACGGCAACGCTAATCCGATTTAAGGTGTGCTCGGGGGATGCGCTATCAACGTTAAAGCGTCACTCAGGATTGCCACAGAGCTGGAAAATCGAGAAAAGTCGTAGGAATTTAAATTGGCTAGGGAAAGACCTGAAAAGGTCAGGGAAAGATACAAAAGAGCCTGGAATTTTGAACTTCGCTCACAATTCCCTCGAATGTTTTTATTCAAAATACTTATTTCCTATTTACTTGTACATAATTATTTTTCATATTATATCTAACATTTATAGTCACCTGCGTTCGTAACTCGCACACTTGACAAATCATTACGTGTCAGGGCCGTAAAACATAGAAAAACTGAAGCAATAAGAAAAATGGCACTTAACATCGACGCAGTGAAAGCTATTAGCCCGATTCTGTGTTGTTCGCGTAAATATGGATTACGGGAAATACTAAATCTGATATCTGTGTAAATGCAGTCAGTGTCATTATTCGGCATTTAATTATTCAAAGTGTTTATACACTTTCACATTCAAATAGCAGCTTCATGCACAGCAGCTTTCAACGTGCACCGATCCGGCGTAGTTGGGGTGACCAAATCCGCTGTAATTGCTTCAACAAGTATCGTAAAGTCAAAGTTCGTACACCTTTCTCTCATAGAGCTGATAGAGAACTGATCTAGCAGTAAGTTTGTATCGTTTCATTCGACATACTACAATATAATATACACTCATATGTAATGTACTAATGCTTTGCTTCATTCTGGGTGGTGTTTCTTTGTGCAGACTTCCGAAAAGGTAATCATTTGCGCCCATTTGTCTCTTTTACTTGCCTCATTAGTCACTTACGAGTAAGTGCGTCTCAATCGGGATTAACACACGACACTCGTGCGCGTCGCGATGTTTGCCGCGCTAACATTTGCGTAACGGTGCTCGCACCTATGGTGCTCACACGTCTCATGTAAAAATAGTAGATTCGAAGTGTCTACGACCGGTCAATATTTGCCGGCGGCTAATATAAGAAGTCGATTCGCACGCGTTGCATGAATTGAGAGAGAGAGAGAGAGAGAGACGATTTACGATGAAGATAAGGTCCGGTGAAAGTGACTCGTTAAAGGTCGTTCTACAATAACGTCAAGTATGCGGCAAGATGTAGGCAATAAGCTGATTGACCAACCGCAGTCGCTTGTGGACTGTAAAGGCCGTGGCACATGGAACAACGTAAGCAGTAAGACTCAAGTCTTACTGCTTAGTGATAAGGAAATTGACCAATAAATCATTTCCTTAGGTTTATATGTTCCAAAAGGTGATAAAAGTGAGGATAAATTTGGCCTCAAGCAGAAGCAACTAGGACTTTCAACTGATTGAAAGCCTTGCCTATAACTTTGCTTTAAGTGTATATTAGCGTTAAACTCGAGCGTTAAGTCATATCCAATTTTAAACTTGCTCTAATCCGTAAGTCATGAAACGTAAAGGAAATCGGCAATTCCTATTTAAGACGTAAGCTATAAGGAAACTGGCGAATCACAATTAATAATTCCTCGACCGAAGGAGAATAATCGACTGTGATTAGTCGGTTTTCTTACTGCTTTGAGCAGGTATTGCGGACTACTTGATTTAATATGTTAAGGCTTATAGCTTAAAGCTTAATGATAAAAGCAAAGTTGTGGACAAGGCCGAAATCTACTATTATTTCTGTTTAAAGCAAAATTTATCGTCATTTCAATCGTCTTGGAATACATGAACCTAAAGAAATATACTGACTGGTCGGTCAATCGATAAATTTACTGCTTACGTCTCACTGCATACTTTATGCTATTGTAGAACGGCCTTAAGACGCTCTACTGCGTTATCGTTGGACAAATACACGACTAACTTTCCACGCGTGATTAACACGTTTTCGTGACGACAAAAATGTCGAACTCGCTGTCCAAGTTCGTATCCTTGAATCTCCGATGAAAAATCACTCGAGAAGTCTCACTCCTTGCACCGCAATCAATAGCGATCGGTTTCCACCAGGTGGAAGAAGCAATTCAAGCAGCTGCTGGAGGAAACCGGCTACGTTACGCCCGGAAAACATCTGTCCGAGGTTAGAGTTTTGTTCATGGGTCGGGAATGCTTCGAGGAGCTCTCTCACCACGATTGCCAAGAGATTTACGACCAGCACCAAAAGGAGATTATCGAGAAGGCCAAGCATAATTTTCAAGTGAGTCCCTCGGGGTTTACCTCCCTCCCGCCGTCGCACCATGAAAGATGCACACACACAACGGAGTTGCATTATCGTTGCGTTCTCGTCCGCAGGAGTTACTGTTGGAACACGCCGATTTGTTTTATCACTTCAAAAGCATAGCCCCGTCCGGCACCATCACGCAGGACGATATTAAAGAGATCACGGACGCGTTGTTGGACGATTTTAGGTACGCGCCACGTTTACGTATTATTACTCTCTCTGAGACGAACCACTCTTAATTTCCCGTGCGTGATCTCTCGCTCAAAAATGTTATATTTAATCCGCTGTTTCCGCAGATACAAAGCGTTAGATAGATTAGATCAGGATAGAAAGCTAATGCTGTTTCAACATTTGGGATTTGTGCATTGTCCCATAAGAGAGCATTGCCCGGCTTATCCGAATTGCATGGACGCGCTCATAGAGAGGATACTCGGCACGAAGGCACACAGGTAAAGAGCGGCGTCGCCGCGTCGGACGATAATAAGAGAAAAAAAATAGCGGTCTTACTTCATAATGCATATCTGGAAACGTTCTAACAGACCTTCCTCGTGGAATCACAGTAGTCAGTGGCAGTTAACGTCGGATAACAATCAGTTGAATTTAGTCATACTCGGGAGTAACAAACTGAGCGAGGAATTCGCCCGTGAGATAAGGGCGCAGACCGAGGACGACGAGGTGGAGATAGACTGCCAGTTGTACACCCTCGGCTATCGCATCATAGACGGCGACGTCGGGCTGCCGCACAACTCCTTCACTACCTCCGATTTCATGCCACACGGTAAATATTTTATTGTGCAGACTTACTGCTCGGACTTACTTGCACTTTCGAGGCGACTTTTGAGGGCTGCTACGCATCTACTTTTTTCCCCTTGCCTCTCTGCTCGTACTTTGCGCCGTGCGATTGACGGTCGTTGCCGTCGGCGTCGGGACTGTCGGCTTCATAATCTGTGAGGCGCTTCCTAACTTCTGAAAAGTTCAATCATATACGATTAGAGAGGTAAATAAGAGCCAACGCCGATGATACAGAGTTGTGTCAAACAATGAAATTTAATAAATCAATAATGATGTATGTTTCGGCCTTTGGTTTGAACTCTCTTTTGTGTAACAATAATATAGGATTAATGCAATATTATTCTAATATTATTTATTGTATGATTAATCTTATATAAAATTATATATTTTTATTTATTATTATATATATTATAATATTATTATTACATAATTATTGTACTATATTATACAAATTATTATTATACTATAACATTATTATATAAAATTATTTATTTATTATATATATTATATTATTATAATTACTGTATAACCTTATTATATATTATTGTTATACTGAAAAGGGTTTAAATCAAGGACTGAAACGTATGTAATTATAGATTTATTAAATTTTATTATTTAATGTAACTGTCGCTATATCAGTGCTATATCGGCGTTAGTTCTTACCAGCTTTTCTAACTGTATCTGATTGAATATCTCGTGAGCTGTCCAATCTTATTTTGAAAAGTTCTTGTTAAAACTAGTCCTTTATGCGTGTTATTTTTATACGCTATCAATTGTATTATTATAATAATTAAAACAATAGAATCGTAGTTTCGATAAGAAAACTCTTCATAAATTAAGAAGTGCCTCAAGTCTTATAAGTCCGTCGGTTCTGAAATTATATGCTGCGACTGTCAATCACTTGGCTCGACAGGCGAGCGGAAGAGGTGAAAAGAAAAGGGAAAGTAGACGAAGCTTTCGAAAATTACCTTGAAGGTGTAAACAACTCCGAGCCCTGTGCTTCTCCGGGAAGATCCCCGCGTCTCACGCGCGTCTCGCCTTCTCTGTTCCAGGATCTTTTTGTATTTACGCGAATGAGGATTCCTTCGAGTACATTCGGTCCTCCTTGGAGAAAACCCTGTTGTCGAATTTAGAGCAGGAGGACAGGCTACCTTTCCAAGGACTGCCTATTGTAATAATGTTCGTGCCGGAGTCCAGTATCGACGAGATGGAAGCCATGAGGCTCAAGGAGGAGGGACAGAATCTCGCCGACAGGTAATGGTGTTGTAGTCGCAATTGATTGACCGCAAATTGGAGAATTCGCAAAGTGCACTGATTACATCCTGTTGATGTCGCGCGCAGCCTGCAGTGTCCGTTCATCGACGTCTGCATAGACGATCTGGAACAGGACAAGAGGTTCCCAACTCCGCTAGTGAAGGACGCTCTGCAGCAGCTTATACAATCCATAAATCACAGAGCTGGTTTTTTGAATATATATCAGAGCGTCATCGAGTGCTTGGAGCCTGACATCAGGTAGAGTATCGCTGGCGAGTCGCTCACACGATTGAACAATCAATAATCACTCGTTTTACGTTTATTTTGATTTCAAGGTAACAGTGTTTTTACCTGTGTGACTAAACTGCTAAACTAACTGATAAACTTGATTAAACTGATGTTTAATTTGCATCTTACCTTTTTTTTTTTTTACCGGTTGTTTTGATTTTCAGGATAATAATGTGCATGTTCTGCGGCGATCCGTACTCGGTCGAGAACGTTCTCGGTCCGCTGCTCAGCCACCAGTGTTGCTTTCTAAGCGGAGACCGGTCTATAGTGTTGGAAACATTCCTGGGAGAATCGAAACGTCGGGTCGAGGTCATTATCTCGAGTTTCCACGGCGCTAACGCGTTCAGAGATGAGCTGGTGCACGGCTTTATACTTGTCTACTCCACGAAGCGGAAAGCGTCGCTCGCAACTCTCAAGTACGTATCGGCGACGTAGCGTGACCCTTGAACTTAAAGCGAAACTACGTGCCACGTTGAACACTCGCGCGTCCTTGTTCCAGTGCTTTTTCCATGAACATACCAAATCTGCCGATACAAATAATGGCTGTAACCGACACCGGCGGCGCGAACGCGTTCTTCAGCAACGACTTGAGTCACTTGCTCATTACGGAAGGCAATGCTACGGCGGACAGGCTGCAAGCGCATTTCATGACATCCGCGTCCAGCTGTCAGCAGAAAAGTGAGATATCGCGACACTCGACCAGATCACGTTATTCTAATTATTTGTTATTAATTCATCTTACTAATTAATTATTATTATTTCTCTCGATCACGTTCTTCTAATTATTTTTCTCGATCCCGTCGCTTTAATTCATCATTTTCCTCGATAATGTTCTTGTAATTATTTTTTTCGATCACACGTTATTTTAATTATTTTTCTTGATGACCTTCTCTAATTAACTATTTTTCTCGATCACGTCGTTCTAATTAGTTATTTTTCACGATCACGTTACTTTTATTAATCATTCCCCTCGACAACGTTTTCCTGATTAATTTTCTCGATTGCATTGTTCTGATTATTTTTCTCGATCACATTATTCTAATTTAATTATTTTTCTCAATGCATTATTCTAATTAATCATTTTTTTTCGCACAGCGGCGTTTTATACGCCATTCTTCAAAGAGGTGTGGGAGAAGAAACCGGAGATCGAGCAAGCGTTCAATATGGAGGAGCCGGGCAATCTGAACGACAGCGGAGAGGGCACCCTGGAGTACTCGGCCCTGCACCCGATGCCGCCGCCACGACACGAGAGCTATCATCTCCAGACGCCGGATGACGGGTAACTATTCTAGACGTGGCTCCGCAATAACAGAGCGAACTGACTTATTGCCTAATACGCCACTCTTTCCCTCTCTTTTTCTCTGTAATTCAAAAGTCTAACGTGAAGCAGTATGTCTGTAACTTTCAGAAGCGGCTCCGAGTCGTACGAGCAGTTGACGCCGGACGGCGATCTCGGGGACACCGGCCTGACCGAACAGTTCGTCGATCACCGGGCCACGCCGAGCGACGACAGCGACATTTACAGCCAGGTCGACTTCTATCGCGAGGAACGGGAGAGGGATCTGATGAAAAACGAGGACATCACGAACAAGCTGTCCGGTGAGTTCATCCGAATCAGACTCGCGCGAAGAAGCGCCGCAATAATCGTACCTGAAGATTTATCGAGCCTATGAATCTCCCTTTTTTTGTTTGTCTCTCTCTCTCTCTCTCTCCTACGTGACAGGTTGGGTGAAGGACACGTTTATGCACCAAGACGGAGTTACCAACAGCTACTCGCACAGAGCCTTTACGACAGGCCGGCGACACATTTCCCAGGCTAAGCCGCGGCCGAAAGGTAACAGCCAGACGTTGAAGCAGCCCGGGAAGATCAATCTGAAGGATTTCTCGAACGTGACAGACGCGATAGCCAGGATGACGATAGGTGAGAAAGACGAGCACGGGCCGAAACTGACCACGATGGGCCACGCTCCCCTCGCCACGCCGGAATTGGTCGACCTCGGCTCCGAGTACGCGCAGGTGAAGGACGTGGTGCCGAGTATGTACTCCGCGTACGACGGCGATTACATGTACGCCTTGGTACAGGACTCCATCGGCAATAACAAATCTAAGCTGCGTCATCGGCGCGAAAAGGGACAGCCATGTAAGACCATCTCTTTTCGGCGCAATTATCATTACATAACGCACATTATCGTTACGTAACATACATACACATACCAATTACGTTGTAATACGTAACTCTGTACGTTGGAAGAAAGAAAAGGATTTCGAGACTCGTAATGTTCAGCAAAGGACATTGGCTTTTCCTCTTCTAAGGTACACAGGATCGTTACCGATGTGTAAGAATTACTGACGTGTGCTTACTCACGATGATTGTGTGTGGCGAGCAGCGTACAGCGACTCCGATTCGGAATGGAGCTCTTTGGAGAGGCAGAGGGTGACTGACGCCTTGAGCAAGGCGAACAAGAAGCCCTCGTCGCACAAAAGAATACGTAAGAAACGCACCGCGATACCGGTCGCTACGCCCAAAGTGCCGTCGTTGGCCAGCATGGGCAGCGGTGACGGTATAGTCGGTCTGAACTACAACATGAAGGACGACAAGAACTGGCGTGTCGATCCAGCGGACAGAGGTGCGATTACCCTCTCCCATTTGTTATACGTGGGAAGAAAATTTTGCATCTATTCCAGGCTCATATTATCATATATAAACAAGAATGCATAATCTTATATAACATAATGTATAATCTATATAAAGATAAAACTTGCTTATATATGAAAACATTCTATATAGTCCCATTAAAAATATTACATTCTCGTTACTCAAGAATAACAGGAATACGATACTTGAAATGGAACTATATAGAATTTCTATAAGCAAGTTTCAATTTCATATAAAATTATTTTATATTACATAATTCAATATCATATGTTTTTCGATTATACAATTCTTATATATGAGAATATGAGTCTCGAATTGATGCTGATACTTTTCCATGTGCCTGTTCCCCCGTTGTTATTTTGCGCAAGCTGTAATCAGCGATTCGGCAACGAAGTACATTTGTCTCTCTAGTGTCCAGCGAAACGCCCGACACATCGGAATCGAGCGATCCCGAGCACACCTCGAGGTCCAGATCGAAACAGTACAAGTATGCGGCGGTCAGTTTGCGAAAGAGATTCTCCGGGAATTCCCTGCAGCAGCAGCACTTGCAACACCCGTTCAACGTGAAGCACATGACGCAGGAGATGTTCAGCGCCTCTTGTAAGTGACACGATAGTTCGGTTCTCCGTTTGACTGAGACAGAAATCTTAATCAGTATGTATCCCGATATCACCAGCATTTACAATGATAACTCTGTGACTGGTATTATATAATTGGTACGAATGTATGCATCCGAAAAGTATGAATGTACGCCAATTTAGCGACGAACTGTGGTACGCATGTGTAATTGATTTTGAGATATATTTTACTTACGTTCAGCTTAAAAAATCACGGCTTCCTCGAATATTTCGCTCCTCCTTACATCTTCTTGATAACCTCTCTCATTTCCGCGCCGCTTCTCATTAAGTTCTCCCTTTGAGTTGCGTGTTCCACGCTTGCGCTAACTTGCATGGAACTTGTGGTTCTTTCTAGCCAAGCAGAGGGGTGAAAATACGTTTGGCATTCCAGATGATGAGTCGAGTCTGGACGTTTCCTCGCCGCGGGAGATCAATTCGCCCAGTGTAAGTTCCGATCAAGACTGACGGACCGTCGCTCAATGTCCGCGCGTAATGTCATCGTGTCGTCGAACTGTTTCCTTTCCAGTTCGGCATATTGAACAAGTCGAAGGACGGGGACAAGTTGACCAGGAAGAAGGACAAGCAGAAGGCGAAGGAGGACGAGAAGCTGGAGAAGAGGAGGCAGAAGGAGGAGAAGCTCAAGAAGCACGCGGAGAAGGAGAAGGAGAGGGAGAAGAAGAAGCAGGAGAAGATCAAGCAGACCAAGGGCCCGGGCGGCACGCCGATCTCGAGCCAGTCGCAGCAACCCTTGATCGAGGACTTCGCACAGAGCGAAACGAACCGGATACCCCTGTTCCTCGAGAAGTGCGTGCGATTTATCGAGGACGAGGGTCTGGACTCTGAGGGGATATACAGGGTACCGGGTAATCGCGCGCATGTGGAGCTGCTTTTCCAAAAGTTCGAAGAAGGTACACCATTCGTTGATATCTGCCCCCTCTCCCCCCCCCCTACCCCCGATCTCCGTCAGTCCCGTCGTTGCGCTCTTCTGAAATCCCCTTCTTCCCCTCTTCACCTGAAACGTAATTATTCTTACGTGGACCTGGTCTTTTTCTCTTTTGTGACGTTGTAGATGGCAATGTCGATATACATTCTTTGGATATTCCCGTAAACGCTGTCGCTACAGCGTTAAAAGATTTCTTTTCCAAGAGGCTACCGCCACTGATCGATAAAGAACGCATGACCGAGCTGGAGGATATATCAGGTAAGTCGGCACACTTCGCCGGATGTTAATTAGAATCAAAATATATAATACTTGAATTATTTCGAAATCTCTCGGGAAAGAGGGGTAAAATGTGAGAAAGTAATTGGCACTCGGGATTCGTTTAACGTGGAAGATCGATTCAACGTGTAGGTTTCTCCAGGAGAATGATTCACGTGCGTGTGTTATTGCCCATTAAATATTTACATCCTCCCACGAAAATTGAAATAGTGTATCGCTACAACCGTGTTCAGGCCGTGATCAGGCTATCAAAGACCCGTACATCTCTTCTTGATTAATCACCTCTACGGAGGCTGTGTTAATATAATTGACGTTAATATAATTGATGTAACATAACATTTTAAGGATCCCCTCGACGTTTATCGAAGTTCGTCATCGACTTTGGTATACCCTTAATAATCTCAGTATCGGAAACTCGAGCAATCTTCGCAGAATCTTGTTTCTGATTTTTTGTTTTTGTAGATTATAGCAGCGCTGCCATTCAGTCACTTAAATCACTTTTTGTTGTTATTTTATCCAAAGATAAACCTGGGGAAGTAAGAGTAAGTATTACTTTTTCGCTTAAATGGCTTCAGTTACTTTCAGAATTTGGCTAAAAAAAAATGTCAGTCAGTTTTAGTCACTATTTTGTTTAAGAAGTCAATTTTTGTCTATTCTGCTACAACCACTATTTCACTTTTTGTATACCTGTGACTGACTGACCGGGCAGCCCTGCTATAGTCTATATGAATGTCTGTATGTCCGAAAATCGTCATTAGAATCGCTTTATTGAGGAATTAAATATTTTTAAGAACATGTTATGCCTCTATCAGGTGCACGAGGCAAACCTATGTCGGCTACTTGCATGAACATGGAAGGTCAGTGCCCTTATCTCGCATAACACTTATCGAATCGCATTTTCTCGACGTTCTCTCACGATATTAACGCGCACCTCGTGATTTTGCAGACCGAAGTTGCAGACTGTTGGCTCTGCGTTTGATGCTCAACAAGTTGAACCCTGTAAACTTTGACGTTCTCAAGTTCATCTTCCAACATTTCGTGAAGTGAGTAATTCCGGAGTGCCCGTAGACACACGACCGGACACGATTGTTATGCGCCGTTACATGTTACAGGATTTCACATATTTTACATGTTTTGTACGTACAACTTACACATCAAAAATACAATATCAATTTCGTGTGATTTCGATTCTCCGCAGGGTCGCGGAGAATTGCAAGCTCAACAGCATGGACAGCAAAAACCTGGCGATCTGCTGGTGGCCTACGTTACTACCGATCGAGTTCAACGACCTCGGCAGATTCGAGGCGATGAGGCCGTACCTGGAGGACGTGGTCCAGACGATGATCGACCAGTATCCCTTCCTATTCTGCGGCGAGGAGGCCATCGTGATGGTGTAGTGACGAATGCGCTGCCGCGTGCACAGTGCATAGGTTGCTGTGCGAGCGCAAGTGGACAAATTTCGACGGACGGACGGACGGACGGACGAACGGGCGGGTGGACAGATGGATGAACGGATGGATAGACGGATAGGGTGAACGAACGAACGAACGAACGAACGAACGAACGAGTGGATGGACGGATGGATGAGTGGACGAGTGGATGGGAAGCGGAGCGTCGACGAGCGGCCCCGCTTGATGCGGATTCAATCCGGCACAATTTTCTACGCGGTCGACGCGACGATCGGGCGTAAACGATTGGTCTCAACATAGTTTCTATTGATATTAAACTTCGCTTTAACGCACTCGTAAACCGCGCGATGAGCAACAGAGGTGCCACGTGGGCGCGACGAGGTTCGAACGTGTCTCGAGGAGAAGAATCTCCAAATTCGAATCTCCAAATTTTCTCAGTCGTCGCCGCGTTCCGCTCGCGTTTTCCCGCGGAATGCGACGAATCGCGACACCCTCTCCTCCTCATCCCCCCCCCCCCCCTGCGATATGAGCGGAACA